CAATGTAGTTGCTGCTGATGTAGTCGTTGTAGACGCTTCTAACGTTTTTGTAGATACTAAATGTAGTTGTGTTAATTTTGATGTCGTTGTTGTTTGTTGTGGTGAAAAAGTTGTTGATGTCATTAATTGTCCCGTCAATGACATAATTGTTGTTGCTGTTATTGATGATGTTGTTGCTGTTGCTGTAGCTATTTGTGGTGTTAATGTTGTTATTGTAGGTAATGTTGATGGTGAATTCACCGAATCGAAAACATTCGTTGTTGATGTCGTTGTCGTTAGTGTAGAATGAATTGTTGTTGTTAATGTATTTATTTTTGTTGTTGATGTCACTGCAGCATTAAATTCTTTCATCAATTTGCTAGTCGAATTTGTGTTAGAAATATCGCTAGCTGCAGTTCTATCAACATTTACACCAACATTAAAACAGCTATCATTATCATTATCATCACTTTCCTCAACAATTGTTTCAATGTTTGAGTCAATTATCGATCTATATGATGGTATGTAGGTTAATTCATTGTCGTCGTCGTCGTTGTTGTAATCATAATTGTTGTTTTTGACGTAATTGTTGTTGTTTATATAATTTTTGTTGTTGTTGTTGTTGTTGTTGTTGACGTCATGCGGCGAAACGAAAACGACATCTTCTTCATCTATTATGATCTCATCATCAAAATTATACGTGACGTCTTTGCAGTTGTTGTTGTTGCTGCTGCTGCTACTGTTGTTGTTGCTGTTGTCGTTGTTGCTGTTGTAGTTGTTGTTGTTACTGACGATGACGTTGTTATTTTCATCGATTATGTCTCTGACGTCGTTGATGTTGGAGTTGTTGTTGACGTAATGGATTCCAGTATTTTTGATGTTGCAGTTGTCAACATTTTGGACGTCTGTGTTGTTGTTACTGCTGTCTGCGTTGTTAATGTCATTGATGTAATTGATATTATTGTCATTATTGTTAATGTAACGCTTGAAATTATTAATTTCTTCGATTATCTTACCGCTTTTATTACATCTATTGTTGATATTGTTGTCATCAATTCTGCTATTGTTAATGATGCTATTATTGTCAATTTTATTGTTATTATTATTATTATTATTGTTGTTGTTGTTAGTGTTGTTATTGTTATTGGTGTTTTTGTCATTCAAAGCAGTTTTGAAGTTACGGACGAAAGCTACGTTATCGTTACAATCCTCACCACCACCATCATCACCACCACCACCACCACCATCATCACCACCACCACCACCACCATCATCGTCGTCGTCGTCATCAGCATTTGGATTGGCGGTAACACGTGAAGTTGTTGCGAAAGGTTTTGACAATGATGACGCTGGTGATGCTGCTGAAGATGTTGCAAACGCTGTTGTCGCTGCTGCTGTTGCTGCGACTGTTTTTGTTGCTGCAGCGACTGTTTTTGTTGTTGCTGCGACTGTTCTTATTCCAGAGTTTGTTGACCCTGTTGTTGATTTTATTGATTTTGTTGTATATGTTGTTGCGGAAGCCAAACTCTTAGCAATGATTGATGGTGATGCGTTTGTTAACGTCATTGTTGTCGTTGCTTTTGTTGCTGCTGTTGTTGTTGCTGGTGATTCTGATGTTGAATTTGTTGTTCCTAGAGTCGTAAAATTTAATTTCACGTCAAAAAATTTCAATTTAGCATCAACTGTCTTCAATGACTGTTTGGCTGTTGTTGTTGCTGCTGCTGTTGTTGGTGTTGTAGAAGATAATGATGAAGGCGATGTTGTTGATTTCGTTGTTGAGGTCATTTTGTGTTGTTCTGAGTTTACTGTTGACACTTTTGTTGGCAGTTGTTGCAGTTGCTGAAGTAGTTGTTGTTGCTGCAGGATTTTTTTAAGTTGCTCTTCCAACTTTTCCAGATGCGGTTTCACGTTCGGTTGTAGGTTTTGTTTTTGAAGTTGTTGTAGTTGCTGCTGCTGATGTTGCTGCTGTGATGGTTGTTGTTGCCACTGTAGTTGATCTGAATACAGCGGTTGTGGTTGCTGATTCAGTTTTTGTTCAGGCGGTTGTTTCAGTTCATTCCTAGCTTTTACTGCATCTTTTTTCTGGAAAATTTTCGGTTTCGGAGGAACAGGTGGTGGGAGAGATGAGGAGGTTCCTTTTGAAGAGGATGGCGATGATGGCGATGAAGATAATGATGATGATACTGTTGATGCCACTTTTACAATTGTTACTGTCGTTGATGATGATGATGTTGATGATGACGAAGTTAGTGTTAAGAGCGACGACGATGATGGCGTTGATGATGAGGACGAAGATGTTGGTGAGTAGGAGGTCGTGGGGACATGCGTGGGAATGTGGGTGGAGTCCAATAACGGAGGCGGCGGAGCTGGGTATTTTTTGTGTTTTGGGGGTAAAAATTGTTGCTGTTGTTTTTGTTGCTGATTTTTATTTTGTTCCTTGTTTATATTTTCAAGATTCATAACACCATCTTTGGCGTTAACACCACCAGAAGTCGAAATTTCTTTATTATCATTGTCGAGTGGCATCGTCATTATAGTCACATTTGCAGTACTATCATTATCATAACCGTCTTCACCGGCCTTGACATAGACTGTATTATCACCATCTTCGTTGTTGTATAAAACTACAAACTTCACATCATCATTGTTGTAGTCATTGTCATCATTGTCAACATAATCATCATCATTTGTTTCAGCATTTTTTGTGCCTCTAGTACCAACATTCCCGCCCTCAACATCGTAACTCAGTACTTCACCAATGTTATTTTCTCTGCAACCTTCGTAAACATAATCGTCAACGTTATCATTTTCATCATCATCATCATTTTCATTTTGGCTGATATAATTTTGGCAATGATGACCACATGTTGCAGCGGCAGCCAGACCGCACTGGCAGCTGTTGTGCATGCTGCTGTTGCGTTTGTCCTTCTTTTTTTTCTGAGGAGTTGATGTGGCTCTTACGATTTTGTTGGACTCGTTATCAGTTTTTGCTTTCTTTTTTGTGACGTCAAAACATGGCGAGCAGGGTTTCAAAGCGATGTTGCCATATTTGTCGAGAAATTTCACGTCGTCCGTTGATGAATCGGTAGTCAGTGCGTTGGTGAACGTTTCTGTGCTACGTTTCGACAAACTACAACTTGAAGTTGTGTTACTGTCGCTTGTGACCGCAGTGCTGCTTGCCGATGTCGTTGTTGTGGTGGCCGTCGAGGTCGTAGTTGTGCTGGTGTCGTTGCTGTCCGAGCTACTTTCGCTGTTGTAACGTTTTTGCTGGACGACTGGCTGATAAACTTTGCAATTTTCAAAATATTCTTGAAGTTGTTTTTGTGTGAGCGGAAGTTTTTTGGCACTGGCTGGCGGCGACTTTGGTCGAAAGACAGACAACACCTTATCAACGACTGAGGAAATCTTATCCTTATCCTCTTGATTCATAGTCTTTTTTGGTTCTCGAGAGACGATCGTCTGAATCACTGGCGGTGGTGGCCGTGGTGGGCTCTCCTTCCGAGGACTCTCTTTCTTTGGGGTTTGTTTCGGCGAAGATGCTCGGGCAACAGAATAATTCAATTTGTCTTTAAGTTGGGTCGGGGATTTTGGTCTGGTGAGTTTGAGATCAGTTTTTTGTTTTGGCTGCTGCAGTTGCTGTTTCTGTTGTTGTTGTTGTTGTTGTTGTTGTTGTTGTTGTTGTTGTTGGTCATGCTTTTCATGATTGTGTTGCTGGAGTTCTTTTCGGCGTTGACCGTCATGCCGAAATTGTAAACCGTCGGAAGAAACTGCAAGAAATGGTATCTGGGAAAGAGATTTTATAGCATCTCTACTAGAAACAGTTTCATCGGAAGTTTCTTTGCCGGAAGTTTCTTTACCGGAAGTAGCTATGATTGTCGTTTCTTCCGTTATAGACGGAGCAGAAGTTGAATTCTGTTTATAAATATTCATCCTATTAGGCAGTTCATAATTTGAGTGAATAAAAACAATTATTTACCTCAACTAAATATTTATCAATGTTATTATTGAAAAAATATATATATATATTATTGTTAAGTCTTTATTAAAGACACAAAAAAGTAAAAAAAATGACTTTTGATATATATATATATATTATATATATATATAATATATATATCGGTATATATATACATATATACATATATATATATATATATATATACATATATATATCTTGAAATCAATCTCTCACCATTATAGTGTCGTTGTTTAATGAAGTTGCGTTCTTGTCGGAATTTGTTGTGACGGTGGGAGAAGACGTCGTTGATGAGGATTCTAATGAGGATGTCACTGATGAGTTGATAGTTGATTGACCCGTGGATGTCTTAGATGTTGGGTTTGTCTGGTTTGGTACCAGGAGCAGGAATTGTGGTGAGTTCGGGAAGGTTTGTGGGGTACCCAGGTAGGGGATAGGTTGTTGTTGCAGTTGTTTCGCCAATTGTTGTTGGATTTGTTGCTGCAACTGATGTTGTAACTGTTGTTGCATTTGCTGCTGAAGTTGTTGCAATTGTTTTTGGAGTTGTTCTTGATACTGTTGCTGCAGCTGCAGTTGTTGTTGAATTTGTTGTTGCAGTTCTTGGTGTTGTTTTTCCGTTAGCATTTGTAGAGGATCTAAATCTAATGATGTTTCAATTTGTTGATCCATTTTAATTTTCATATTAAAATCTTGTTTAACATTTTGACCAAACTCGTTCTTTATCTGCTGTTGTAGTTTTGCATCAGTTGATTGGAGCAGTTGTTTGCTGGTTGGTTCGTTCGACTGCTGGTCGGTGTCTCGCAACATTTGATTTTGCTCTTCATGGACAGTAAACTGTTGTGATTTGTTCTCCTCTCTTTCGATCAAAGAGTTTTTGTTTCTGTCTGCCGAATCAGTGGTTGTTGCTGTCAGAATTTTGCTAAGAACCTGTCTGGTCATCGGCGTTGGAAGAACTGGGCAATCGCCGTTCTGAAAATGATGATATTGAAGTTCTGCTTGAACTTGCAACTGCCGATGATGAAGTTGGAACTCGTCATGATGATGCTCTGCTTGTTGGTGCTGTTCATGTTGCTTTGAATGCTCTTTAGTTTGATTTGGTTGCTGCTGTTGCTGCTGTTGCATTTGCTGGTTCGGTGCTTCTTGAAGTTGTTGACGTTTGTTGGAAACTCGGGGTACCGGTACAGGGGGAGAGTTGTTGCTTTGAAGATGAGTATAAATTTGTTGATGTTGTTGTTGCTGTTGTTGGTGGTGGTGTTCAATGTTGTCGCCAGCGTCATTGAGACGTTGTTGTTGTTGTTGTTTTTGCGAAATCGGAGGTAGGGGAGCCGGTCTTTTTGGTTTATTTTCCATACTGGTTTGTTGGTCTTGAATATTTTGTTGTTGGTAGTAACAATGTTGTTGCAATTGTTGCTGAAAGATTTGTTGTTGGGGTTGTTGTTGGCCGGAATTACGTTGGTGAGAATTAAAGGGCTGATGTTTCATTTTGTTTGAAACTGGACTGCCAGGTTGCTGATAGTTTTCAGTGATTGAGACTGTTGCAGGGAAATTTTTCCATTTTGTTTCGACAGCATCAGCATAATTTACAACATCTCCTTTCGTATCAATTTCAAAACTTGTCCCCGAAATCTGGTTGTTTAACATGCTTGCACCATTTGTTAAGGTTGCAGCAGTCGATGTCCCGTTGACATCTTTTGTAACTGCATCGAGCTCTGATATTGTTGTGAATGTTTTACTTACACCAGCTGAAGACGGAGGAGCGGTGGTCTGCAATGCTAAATTATTCGCTTCATCTTCCGTTACATTCTTTCCAGTGTAGCTGACGTTTCTGTGGATTTTTTTAGAAAAAAATGAAAAAACGCCACGTTTTTTGTCAGATTTTTGTTGTTGCTGCCGTTGCTGCTGTTGAAACTGCAACTCAACCTGCTGTCCTTCTAACTGCAGACTTTTATTTCTTTGTACCTCTTGCAAAAGTTTTTGTTGGTTCAACTGTTGCTCAACTTGTTGCTCAACTTGTTGCGCCAACCGCTGCTTCTGTTGCAAGTAGTTGCTGCTTCTCGACTGCAGGTTCTGTCGCGGTCTAGCCACAGGTGGTTTCGCAGCCATGTGATGAGACGAGTGGAAATTGAAGGGTCTGCGTTCAGAGGTCGAATGGATCGTCGAATTCAACGGTGGGCTTGTGACAACTGCATTTTTGCTAGCTGAACGAGATGAATTAAATTATTAAAACTAATAAATTATTGGAGCCGATGATTATTACAAATAAACGAAAAAATAAAATTAATAAATTAAATATATTTAATCATTTATTAAATTTTATTTCATTTTATGATTATTACAATTTTTAAGAAAATTCTCATAGATTAACCAAAAAGAATGAACGACTGTTGTAAACGTGATTGAGAAAAAAATGTTTTGAATGAATGAATGAATGAACGAACGAACGAATGAATGAATGAATCATTGAATGAATGAATGAATGAATGAATGAATGAATGAATGAATGAATGAATGAATGAATGAATGAATGAATGAATGAATGAATGAATGAATGAATGAATGAATGAATGAATGAATGAATGAATGAATGAATGAATGAATGAATGAATGAATGAATGAATGAATGAATGAATGAATGAATGAATGAATGAATGAATGAATGAATGAATGAATGAATGAATGAATGAATGAATGAATGAATGAATGAATGAATGAACAAAATGAACAAACGATAGAACGAACAAATAAATGAATGAACAAATGAATGATTGAATTGATGAATCGTTCAATCATATAACCTGAATTTCTACAACCTATTGAATCCGTCAGAAAATTGCAAATCGAAAACCTCAAGTAGAGCTATTTTATAAGCCTTCGTTTGAAATTAAATCACTTTGATTTACACTGTAAGATACATACATGTGCAGTGCATGCACGTATAACAAGCCCACACATATACACACATATACACACCACAAACACACATAAACATGTGTATAGTGTGTATATTTATTATTTATGAGTGTGTGTTAATTTTTGTATGTGTGAGTGTCTGTAATAGTTATGTGATTTTATATGTGGATGTTTTTACAGTCGTATTTGTTTAAACAGCGTTTCAAAATGAAAATTTTTATGTTGATATCTACAGTATCTGTTTTTGGTCATATTTATTTACTTCATTCATTCATTTTTCTTAATTTACATTTGTTTAATCACTCATTCATGCATTTATTAATGAATTCATTAATTCATTCATTAATTAATTCATTCATTTATTGATTCATTCATTTATTTTTATAAACTTTTTGACTTATCCTTTGTGTGTTTGCTTTGTTAATTCGTAAAATGTATGTGTAGTGTTTCGTGCATTATTAATTTTCTCGGCATAAAATAAACTCAATTCAAAGCCAATTTTGTGTGTATGTGTACGTGTGTTTATATGTGTGTACGTGTATGTGTGTGTGTGTGTGTGTGTGTGTGAAAGTGTATGTATTTATGTGTGTGTGTGTGTGAGTGTGTGAGTGTATGTGTGGCGTGTGTGTGTGTGTGTGTGTGTGAATGTATGTTGTGTGAGTGTATGTATGTGTGTGTGTGTTTGGTGTGTGTGTGTGTGTGTGTG